GGCTTTGGATCAAGCATTATAGATAAGTAAATTTGGGGAAATTGCTTAATCTCTTGAAACTCAATTTTCTCAAGGTCAAGTGAAGATATTTTATAGAATTGTGGTGAAATCTAAGAGATATAAGAATGTAAAGTGCCCATCACCATACCTGGAATGGGCTAGTCATTCAATAAATGCTAGATATTATTGTGGGTTTTTTAAAGTTTATTTATTTATTTAGAGAGAGATGTGGAGGGTCAGAGAGAGAGGGAGACAGAATCCCAAGCAAGCTTGGCGTTATCAGCATGGAGACTAATATGGGGTTCAGTCTCACGAACTGTGAGATCATGACCTGAGCCTGAGCTGAAATCAAGGGTAAGGTGCTTAAAATACTAAGCCACCCAGGCAACCCATATGCTAGCTATCTGCTAACATTACTATTATCATTATCAAATTGATAATAATTTCCTGAAAATACACAAAATGAAGACTTTCCAATGGTAAAGTTTTAGTCCATTTATTTTAAGTCATTAAAATGACTCATAAAATCATGAAAACCTAGATCAAATTAATGCTTGATAGTAAAGCTAAAATCCATTCATCAGTAAATACCCATATCTCCTACCTTCTGCCTAGACACAAACAACAGACTTCTGTTCTTTGAATGAGTGTGTAACAGATGAAAAGTCTACCAATTTAATTTCTACAGTCATCATATAAGTCTCCATTACCCCCTGTAACAAATCACCACAAACTTAGTAGTTTAAAACAATATTAATTTAATCTTAGACAGTTACTGAGATCAGAAGTTCTCTTGTTGAAAAAAAAAAAAGTTATTCACTCAGTTTCTCTCTTTTCTTTCATATTTGCTATAAGTGGCAAGAAGAAACCAGGCTGCTCATTCAGCACTATGCTTGGAAATCTCCTCAGCTAAATATCCAAGTTCATCACTTACGAGTTTTGCTTTCTGCTAGGCTTTGTGCTACTATGTAATACCTCCTTTCTTCCAGTTTTCAATAAAATATTCCTCATTTACTTCTCAGTCTTTAACAGCAGTACCCTCAACATTTATATGTCTACCAACATTCTATCTATGATGATTTGGATATTCTCTAAGATCATACAGGTTCTATCATTCTCCTGACTTTTTTCTGAATCTTCAGTAGTACCTTTCACATCCAGGTTTTTACAAATACTCTGTGACAATGTAAGTATTTTTTAAGACAGTATAGGGTTTCTTTTTCTACCATATCACTGCCTTTGAGAGCTTACTGGCAGATTCTTTAAAATTTATAATTCTGGGCAATCTAGACTTTTCCTATCACACTACTCACAATTGTTCCAGCCTCTAGCCACTGCCCAGTTCCAAAGACACTTTCCCACTCCCAGTTACCAAAATCTGCATTAGTTTCCCAGGATTGCCATCTCAAGTTACCACACATTTAGTAGCTTAAGCAACACAAACTTATTCTCTTACAGTTCTGGATGTCAAAATGACTTTCACTGGGCTAAAATCAAGGTGTTGACACAGCTGGTTCTTTCTGAAAGTTCCAGAAGAGAATCCACTTCCTGCTCTTTGGCCACCTGCATTCACTGGTTCGTGGTCGTATCACTTCAACCTCTGCCTCCATCATCAGCTATCCTTCTGAGTCTGACCCTTTTTACTTTATTTTATAAAGACCATTGTGATTATAAAGGACCCACTTGGGTAATCCAGAATATCTCCCCATTTCAAGATTCTTAATGTAGTTGCATTTGCAAAGTCCCGTTACCATGTAATGTGACAAAGTCAAGTTGTGAAGATCAAGATGTGAACACCTTTTGGGGGAACTAATCCACCTACCACAGCCATGTTCATTATTAACTAAACTGTGTCTAAAATGTTTAACCTATATTTTCAATTACATTGTTTTAAGTATTCCCTTCATTCACTGACCAAATTATTGAGCTAATATTCTGTCATTTCTACATTTTGGATGTTGGTTCTTCTAAAAGTTTCAGCAAGAAGTGCAGCAACAGGATAAGACTGTATATTGAATCATACAATTCCCAGAGCTGTTGAGATCTGAGTAATTCCTTGACTCATTATTATTGTTTGGAGTATTTCCAAAGTACACAGCAGCTTCATTACAGGGAGGAAAAGTTAAACCCCTATCATAAAAATCATAACTCTGAAGCTGAAAGATACCTAACGAATCATCTAAATTTCAAGGATGACAAAAATAAGACCCAGGAAAGTTAAATGATTTACTCAATGACATAAACTCTAATGTAGAGGACAGGGAGAATAATTTGTTTTAATAATATCTAATGTTTAACTGCATGGAAACATGTTCTAAGAGCAAGCCTACAAAAAAGCTACTGAATTCCTGGGGCACCTGAGTGGCTCAGTCGGTTGAGTATCCGACTCTTGATTTTGGCTCAGATCATGATCCCAGGGTCTTGGAATCAAGCCCCTCATTGGACTCTGTGCTGACTGTGAGGCTTGCTTAAGATTCTCTCTCCCTCTCCCTCTCTCTCTCCCTCTTTGCCTCTCCCTCTCTCTAAGTAAAAAATTAAAAAATAAAATATTTAAAAAAGAAAAAACAAAGTGGTGCATTCTCATAAATAGAATTCCTTAATCTCAGGTTTAGGTAGATTTTTATTTAGCCATCTGAACTTCTTAAATATTGAGGCAAATATTAATAAGGTAGTTTTCTAAATAGGTAGTGGAGTTTAAGATAAACTATATCAGACTAATGAAAATAGAGATATATTTTCCAGAATGCTATACATGATAATCATCACTCTGATTAACAGCAGTTCTACTGTTACTGGTGTAATGATTGGTTTGGAAATTTTTCTGATAGTCCATAGTCCCTGCAAGTATTCCAGTTTCTTATTTCCCTGGAGACAAAGCAATTATCACATGCTCTAAGAGAACCCTAAGATAAATATCTTGTTAATACATGTGTATGGCATAAAAGTGCTTTTCAGAAAACAGGTGTATCTTCACTTTTTTAAAAGCATCTAACTTAAATTATACTGTGCCCAATGCTACTTATTCTTTTCAAAAAAACACTAAAACTACTGGGATACCTCTAAAATGTTAGTTCGATTACTAAATGTATATTAAGCTTATTGTTTTTTCTAATTATAAAATAAGTAATATAGACATAAAGTAGAAATTACGATATACAAACCTTAAATGGGCAAGTAAACATTGTTATTAATATGTGAAAAGCTTCTTTATAAAGTAAAAATACTCACATTAACAGAAATAATCAGATATTTCAATATGAAGGGAAGAAAAATGTTTGTCTTGAACTACAGAACAAACTAAAGACTCAAAAACTATGGTTTTTCATTTGTGTGTGTTTGTGTGTGTTATGTATAACATCATGCCAACAGAGATATTTTAATCTTATTCAATTGATAACATTTATAATAGTTGGCAAAATTTCTCAGGCTTTTTATATATATATACAATCTGATAGTTGGTAAGGAAAGAACTTAAATGTAATATTGAAGGCTCTTTTCACCGTAGAGTCAGAATACAAATGTCTGGAGGAAAAGTGTAAGTATCTCATCAGCAATGTGAGAGTGTATCAAAACATAAAGTTTATCGTGGCTGTAAAAATAGACTTTGCTAATAAAAATAGTTTTATTTTTCCTACTAATAGAGATAATAATTATCCTAATAAGAATAGAAAGTGTAAAGAAAATAAAAATTATGGCATCCAGAGATAAGCACTTTAAACATTTCACTGAACATACTTTCATATGCAAACATACACACAGATGATCTTACATAAATTGGACCATAGTTTATGTGGTTTGAAATGTTTTCTTTGCTCTTTTTAAGAAAAAAAAATCAAAATATCTTTTCATGTCAAATAGGGAACTACATAATGATTTTTATGACTGCAGAGTATTATAGCATAGAAGGCTCCATAATTTATTCAACCAATCCCTTATTGTAAGATATTAATCTTGTTCATAATCTTTTTTTTTTGCAGCAATAAACCTTGATAAACACCCTGTACTAACCTATTTACCAACTTGTCCAATTCTCTCTTCGAAGGAAATTGTTTTCAGTTACTTCTAATTGGCTACAACTAGAAGTACTGGATAAGAGACTGTGTATATCTTAAACCCGTACCTAACAGAAACTTTGCCTAAGCCTTTTTGAAAGCAACTTGCCAATATTTATTAAGATCCATAGACGGGTCTCTGAGGGAAGGAGGTGCGCTGAGCTGTGGCAAGCATGGTGGGGTAGTGAGGACAGGTGGGTGAGGTGGAGAAGACAGTGTCCTTTCTCTGAGGGAGGGGCTGTTGGTGACAGAGACAAGGGGTGTGGGACAGGCACGGGTCACAATGGGCAGGAGAGGATATAAGGGATCCTGTGGGGTGGTTTAGGCCTAGGTGGAGGCTTGGGTTTGAGAGGAGAGGAGCAGTACGAATAAAATTGGCAGTGAAGTTGTGGAATCCAAAAGAGCAAAGGCTATTGTGAACCAATGAGTCAGGCTCAAGAGGAGGCCCCTCCCCACTCCAAGTGAATACTGACATCTGCATGCCTCAACACCTGTGCACTCTGACATCTACTGGAACCCCAACATCTAAGTGCCTCAGCATCTGCACACCCTGACATCTGCTGGGGCCCAGATCTCTTGCTCTTCCACATCTGCATGCTGTTACATCTACTGGGACTAACTTCCATGGGCCTCCACATCTGTGCACCCTGATATCTACTGGGGCCACAACATCTGTGAACTTTGATATCTGCTGGAGCCCTGACTCTGCTTAACAACTGCATATGGTAACATCTACTGGGGCCCTGATATCTGTGCACCCCAACATCTCCTTTCTCTAGGCAGAGCACAGTCTGGTGCAGGTACAATTGTCTCTAGCACCTGAGCAACTGGTGATTAGCACCCCCACCCTGTCCTCAGAGACAAAAGAAAAGAAAAGAAAAGAAAAGAAAAGAAAAGAAAAGAAAAGAAAGAAAAGAAAAGAAAAGAAAAGAAAAGAAAAGAAAAGAAAAGCCTGCACAAGACCACTGCTTGCACACTTGCTAGAGAAACCAGGGAAAGAGGACACCCTTCAAAGTATGGTAAGGTGTGGAGGACCTCTAGGAGCTGTCTTGATAAAAGATAGCCATGAACAGTCAATTTAAGTTACCATATTACACAGCCCAAAGCAGCCCTGCGATGGGTATGTTTAATACTTCCATGGGGAAACTGCAGCAACAACTGTACAAGGGGGAGTACAGTATATTCAGGTATGCACCAATGTTTGAGAGTGACTTTATACAGGTCAGCAGAAAAGGAGAAGTGATTGATGTGCACAACCGTACCCAAATGGTGACTGTGGGCCTCGTTTGCACCAGCCCCCACCTCACACTACCTGATGTCATGGTGCTGGCCCGACCAGCTGCTGTGTGTGATGACTATAACAGATGTGGCCCAGCTATCCACGAAAAAGGTTACAAGCCTACACAGATCTTAGAGCTAACCAGGCTGCTTCCCTTGAAGTTTGTAACGCTATCCATTCATAATGGTAAAAAACAACAGCTCCGCCTAAAGCTTGCCACTGGCCGCTCTTTTTACCTTCAGCTGTGCTCCCCTTCTGACACAGGAGATCTTTTTATCCACTGGGAAAACCTCATTTACATTCTGAGACCACCACTAGGGGCTTACAGCGATTCCCAGACCATCCCATTTGGGAACAAACTGGACATAACTGGGTTTGGAAAGGAGGACAAGAACCCAGAGGTAAGTATGCACAAAGACTCTAAAAGATGGGGGCAGGTTGCCGTGGGAGAAGAGCTGAAAGTCCTGCAGAACCTTTGGTACTGAGGCTTACCTAGAAAATACACTGCATGTAAATGGGTTCAGGGCCACAGGAGCTAACATCTGAAGCTCACATTGGGGAATGTTCCAAATTGTTCTCCAAGGCTGTCATTTCAGAGCTTCCTTAGCTGTCAGTAACTCTTAATTTCATATCCAATACTATATTGCCATCTGTGGCATCCTGAACATCTATTCTTGAACAATGCACTGCTATATCCAAGTAGGCTGATATTAGGTGGGATGTAATGTCTCTACTGCCATGTACTGATTTTGCATATATCAGTGGCAGAGGGATGTGCTTGTGTGCATGTTTAGTAGCTATCAGAATATTAAAAAGCATATCATTTAGCCAGCAGAAATACTAACATAAGGGTATAAAAGAAAGTATATGAGGATATTCACTGGTGAATTATAACAGTGCTCTCACTGGTACTGGAACTGTACAAGCAAAACTGGAATAATCATCGTGGTCATTGTAGAGATACTGAAGAGGGGGATACTTGCAACAAACGGGAGATTGGGCTTGAAACCTCAAAATTCTTATCCTAAGCCCTTATTGTTTAGCTATGGGAATAAAAAGGAACAGATCTTTCTGGTCTCATTTTCTTTATTTCACTTGTTTGTCTTCCTCCATAGGCAAATGTCATTCATTTCTATGGAAGAGATCAAGATCAAGTTGGCATCAGGAGTCTTCACATGAACCCTAAAGTGTTTGGGACCACCTGTTATGCTGGGGAGGAATGAATTAATCAAGCCTCCCACACATACTGCATTTAAGAGTTCACATACTTCTGCAGTAACAAAGCCTACAGTACCCGATAAAAGGGCAGGGATGGCAACAGGAGGAGCTAGAATAGCCATACTGGGTGGATTCAACATGTTTTAATAATGTTGTTAGCAAGGGCTACAGCCCTTCTTGTCCTCAGATGGTGCTTCCAGCACATCAGTAGGAGCTACTGGCTCCTTCCTAGAGGGCAGCATAAATATGGTGATTCCAAGAGCAGAAACTACTGGCAAGCCCATTGCAAAGACAGCTAACAACTCAGTATTGGGACCCGTTATTACAACTTTGTTGAGTGAAGGCTACATGAGTGAACAGGATGGAAGCCAGAGGCCTCCACCCAGCAGGATTGACTCTAGAAAAGAGCCTGAAAGTCCTGTATTTGCACATGGTGCAGAGGTGGACATCTTATCCAGGACTGTGGAGAAAAGCAATACCATCCACCCAAATATAATCAACTCAAATTCTCTGTTCTAATATGTTTTCAAATATGCTCTGTTAACAGGGAAAGGTAGTAACAAAAACAAATGCTAATTTATTATCAGGCTCTGAACTATCTTTAACTTCCACTTAACTTGATATTTGTGATTCAATGCCCAGGTGATAGAATAAAATGCTGAAGATTACTCTCAAAGACCCTCCTCCATTTATCACTGACTTGTATTGACCAAAAAAAAAAAAAAAAAAATTCTAAAATTTCCTAAATATATAACCAGGAACAGAAGCAAATGGTAGTAATGATGATGATGATGATGATGATGATGATATTGTCAGGAGTGCTGAAAAACTAATTATACTTTACAGAAAGGACTTTATTTCCTCTCTCTTTATTCTTGTTCTTTGTCCAACTTAAATATTATATAACTGCTTTGAAGTTATACTAATGTACCCAACATATTCTATAAATCTTAATTTTAATTCCCTTTTGTTATTTAAAATTTTAAATTTCTTGACATTTTTACAAGACGCAGTTCCTTTTAAATTCTGAAAACTTAGAATTTTAAATAATGTCTAGTCACAATGGAAGGATAAAGTGCCATGTTAAAACTAGAAAAACAGAAAAAATAGCTAAAACCTGAATAAAAGCTCAATTCAAAATCTAGAAAAAAACTGTAGATTAGATAATCTTAGAAGTGTAAGATATACAGGATCAGCCAATGTTCTAATTTTACAAGTAAAAAGTCTATTTAAGACTCTAAAAGTGATGCATCATATAGTTTTAATTAAGTCTGTATTTCCATAATCCTCATCTCTGAAGCTTGGCACTATGCTTTGAATGTAGAAGATATTTGACACAAGTATGCTGGATCCAATTAAATTAAGGGTTATAAATGTGAAATATATTTTATTCGAATCTAACAAATCTGCATATATAGAAATTTGCATAGAAGTTTACTAATTCCACTGATCCCAAAGTCTTCTATACCAAGCTGTAAGGTAATGGTTTTCCATGAGGCCTTAAAAATCATTAAGGAAAGCACTGTGCATATAAGTCCTCATTTTTAATGACTCCTCACAATACTTAAATAATTTAAATGATTTTTAAATGATTCAGTATTTAATAAAGTCACAAATATTTAAATAATTTTAATGACCCCACGCACACACAATATTTCAGTTCTGTAACAAACAGCTTCAAAATAAAATCATGTTATTAATGAAATTTTAAGAAGACTTTTATTTTGAAGTTGTCCCAGAATATCCTGAGTTCAAAGCTATTTCAAGTTGTAGAATAAATTTACATTTGATATGATGTCTCCAATGTCACAACAAGTGTATTAAATTTTATTGTAAATACATAACATATGTTAAAGGAAAATCCACCAACAAAGTAAGAACATTAGAAGTCCAGATAAATATTAGTAGAAGAATTCTACTTTTGATTCATTATATACAGTAAAAAAAGATACTACATGTCAAATAAATTTATAGATGTAATGTAGTAACAATCAAAATACCAATAAGGATAATTTTATAAAATATAAATTCTTGAGAGCAATTATGTCAGCTAATTAATGCAATCAAAATTTCTCCTGCCATGCATTATATGTAAAAATATCAAAACTGAGTCATGTGGTTTTAAAAATAGGACAACAGAAATAAGAGATTTCAGAAGAAAATCCAAGCCAAATAAGATGTGATATAACAAGAGGAATGAGAGTTATCTCTAGATGAGGTGAATTAAACAACAAAAAAAATAAGACTAAGAAGTTTCATGAACTTGATAGCTTAAAAAAGTACACAAAATACACTCACACACACAAATTAAGGGGGAAAAGTTGCAGCTTGGGAAACATTTTGTGGTAAATGTAACTATTAGAGATTATTTGCCAGTCTTCACAGGAAAATGGCCAAAGAAAAGCTAGTATTAAAAAAAATTGTAAACCAAAATCAAGTTACTACCAACCCTATTACCAAGACTAATAAAAATGAAAAAAAAATGTTTAGGAAGGTGGTAGAGAAGCAAATTATAGTCATAAATTATTGATGGCTTAAAGCCATAATATTTTAGTTTATGAAACAGAAAAAATAGATAAAGGCATTCAATTTACTGGTGAACTGTTAGGCAGATGAGGTTATAATAATAAGATAAAACCAATGTTTCTTACTGTCCTTTCTCCTATGTCTGTATAGATATGATCCTTAAGTGAAGAAATGAAAGCATCAAACATACACATTGTTCATTGTTTCATTCAATTATTAATACTGACAATATGCCAGGAACTACGGCCTTAGAAATACATGTTAAGTAATACACAGTCTCTACCTTTATGGAACTCATAGTCCAGTAAATATTGATAATAATTCTGATTAGGATTGGATTAGGATACTGTCTTAAAGTTCTAAAAATAGTTTCTGTTAAGATGAAGATATTCGTTAAGTACTATATGCTGATTTTATTATCTCTACCATAAATTAATATGGAATTTGAGTGGCTATGATCAATTTGCGACATAAGACATAATTGCTTCCTACTTGTTACAAAACAATATAGTATTTTTGAAATATAACACTGTTTGGAAAATTACTGTGAATTATTTTCTGTCCTAGACTGTTTTTCTGCCTATGCACTGAGTAGTTATACATACATACCTTTGCCATTACACTGCCTTTTGTATTAAGTGTTTTTGCATTTTTTAATTGTGGCTTTAAATTTCATAACTCTAGTTAATTTTACTTAATTCTGAAATTCCTCCAAAGACTTGTGGTCTAAAACATACAGTAGGAATTTAAAGGTGATACAATAGAAAAAAATTAATGAATAGTGAGATGGTTTCAAAATTGTACTCAATGTTTTTAATGTTCTGGTATCATTTGGGGATTGTACTACATCATCTTCAGTGGTAAACATTATTCTACAATGTTTCATTATGCAAAAAATAAAAAAGCACTAACAATGCTTTTAAAGAGCCCTAAAATGTTTCCTTGTAAATAATTTTCTATTATTTTAACATAACTTTTAATTTGAAAATAGCATTCTTTAAAATGAACTATTTCTAGATCATAAATATGAAAACTCTCATAAATAATTCAATGTTTCTAGAACTAGCATCATGATCAAAATAAAACAATGACTTAAATGATGTAAAATATGTATTTCCATATGCATACATGTACAGCAAGTTAGAAAAACATTTTACTGATCTTTAAATGAAGAAAAACTACAAAGTGAATAAGATAGTAATTGGATTTCCAGGAAGAGAGAAAATATTTCCTTAAAAATATAAACAATTTTGATGTTTTATTTTATCTTAAGAAAACCAAACTGTTACCTGTGCAAGAATGGGGAATCCAAGGTTCCTACATCCATTACAGGGAGTTAATGCTTCCCAGAGTCCTGAGGGCCCACAAGTGTTTTCATCATCTTCTTCTTCTTCCACTTCTCCTGGTGACAAATTTATTGTAGATGAAGTCCTCTGAAATTAAATGTATATTATACCAATATGTTATATCAGTGTTTTTTAGATATCTTAACATCACTTAATTTCTGTAGTGTATGTTAGCAAGCAAAATCAGCTTAATATTCACCACAGTTAGGTAGCTATGCCATGTGACTAAACAAAACAAATGTGTATAATTCAATTTAACTTGAATGTTTAAAAAATTTGAAAGTGAAAAAACCAGGTGAGAAAGACTAATGGGACACAAAGTTCATAATGAAGAACAGGACATGAAAATGACTCAAGAAAATATCTCAATAGCAACAAATGACAAAAATCTTATGATTTATAAATGCAATCAGATGAATAGCAAGAAAATGCTGAAACAAGAATTGCTAAAAAGTCAATTTTTTCACAATGTCTCCTTTTAAATAAAGAACTTCATAAAATTTTGTATTATACAGGTAATAGGGGTAATATTTTTAAAATTAATAATGGGATTTTCATGTTGAACCTGCATATTTACTTTTGCTACTTCCCAAATCCTATTAAAATGATGGCAAAGAGCTAGTAAACAATGGTCTAAAGCATAAGGACAAGTATAACAAGAAAAAGATTAGCAGAAGAGCAATAACAAGAAAATTTTTAAGAGAATGATAAAGAAATGGGTAGGTATTACCTGATTTAGCAAACCTGAGAAAACTGAAAACAAAATGTTGGCTAGGGGGAGGAATAAGTAGCATGTCTATGTATGACTCAGCACCATTAAAAGGGCTTAAGAATTTCTATATTTGAAAGAGACCTTAGACCCATCTTCTCAACTGGCCAACAAAGTAAATCTTCATCACTAACAAGAAATTGGAGGTTTATTTTCAGGTGAGAATGAGGCAAGGGATTATGAATTCTAATAATCCATGCACGGTAAACAGAGGGGTGTCTGTAAAAACAAATAAATTAACTGAAAATCTAGTAGTTTTAGATTCCCAAACCATCCCAGGGTCTGCCTACCTTTGCCTTAAAGAACATGGCAGCTAGGTTTATATCCCCCAGGTAGGAGATAAGAATGTATTCCCCTCTGTAGAAATTGACTTCCCAAGATCTCTAAGTACCTAGTAAAATGATGCGTCTATGCCTTAAATCCTACTATGAAGCCCACCTCTCATAAAAGCTATACTCATATAAACAGTTTCTAATTTTGTAGGTAATTGTGAATAAGAATCTAAGCACCATCACACATTTGAAGGAAGCCTTTAATAGAGACCAAAACATATATACAGAAAAACTAAAAATTGTATTCACAAAGAAATAGAAGATTTTGCATCCATCAAATAAGAACAGAATGCTACAAACTAATAAACACATAAAACCCAATAGAAGAGTTGGAAAATAAGCCTGCAGAAATTTCTCAGGAGACAGAACAAAAGATGAGAAAATAAAAGTTAAGAAAACTAGGGGATCAAACTAAGAGGTCCATGTAGCTATGGGAGGAAATTATCAAAGAAACAATGCAAGGAATTTTGCCAAAACTGATGAAAATTCCATATTCAAAAAGCCTGATGAATGCTCAGCAAATGGAATTAAAGAAAAATAAAAGTAAAAACCTTCAGAAAGTTGGACACAACACTGATATATCATGATTATTGAAGTTAATCAAGATACTCTATATATTAAATTGTAAATGGCACCCATTTGCCCCCCAAAAAGTTGGTCCTTTAAAAAATAGATTAAAAAATAGATTATATGACTTTAAAATATAAGAATGTGTTTTTCTCCATTCATAGCTTACATTCCCTTTCATCAATTTCCAATAACTGAGAAATCATAAACCTAAAAAGCCCCTGAAGCAGTTACAGCCTATAAGGTAACAATAATAAACTATAATCTATTGAGCATTTACTATATGACACTACAGAGTAATAGGACTATTATTCATTATTTTATTTATTTATTTATTTATTTTTTTATTTCTAGGAGAGAGAGAGAGACAGCGTGAGCAGGGGAGGGTCAGAGAGAGAGGGAGTCACAGACTGAAACAGGCTCCAGGCTCTGAGCTGGCAGTCAGCACAGAGCCCGACGCGGGGCTCGAACCCACGAACCGCGAGATCATGACCCAAGCGAAAGTCGGACGCTTAACCGACTAAGCCACCCAGGCGCCCCTATTATTCATTATTTTAATTCACACAAACTAGGGCACAGAGAGGTCAAGAAAAACCAAGATCACAGAGCTGTAAGTGGCAGAAACAGGAATCTAATATCCAGACTACCTGATTCTAGAGCTGACCTCCCCCCCTTGACCACTATGTTATGTGGCTTCTCATTCAGTGCAATATCCTGTAAAAAGCAACATAGTAAATAATTGAGCTGATGCAACTGCAGTTTAAATTCTAAAAAGTATATTTGTTAATATATTTCTGCTACATGAGCAATTTGCTATCTGTGGCAACCAAATTTTCTGTAATTTGATACATATAGCCTATACTTTCATAAAAATACATTTTTCAAATTAGTAATAAAAGGTGATTATCAGGGATTTTTCATCCTACAGATATCCCGGTGAGAAAATCTTGGGGCATCTAAAACTTTATCCTAGCAAGATCATCTGTATGTCTGACCGATGCTATGCACAAAACAGAATAAAATAAAAATTAGCTTCTCATTCACCAACTCATGATCGTTTTGTTTGACCATCAATGCTGACATGGCATGGCACTATAAATCATTACATACTTGGTAAGAATTATCATCATTTCACAGATTAATCAGTTCTTTTCTATTTTTGTTAATGGTACTATAATTATCTGATCCAATCTCACAGAGAACTTGCTCTCTCTTTCCCCCAGAGAAAAATTCTGTTTTTGTCTCTTCCCTACTCACACATCTCTGATTATTTCCCATTGTACAGTAAATAATATCCAAATTCCTCAAGGTTCTATGGTCAAACTATTTTTCAACACTTTTACTTACTCTACTACATACTCACCCAGACTACAACCAAGTGGAATTACTGATCCTTCCCTAATCATGCTCATTGCATTGACTCATGCCTTCCATTTTATGTCTCCATGAAGCATATTGTACTGGTTAAAAATTTAGGCTCTAAAATTAGTTCTAAGTTTTCAGCTTGCCTACTTGTTAGCCTACTTATTAGTGTGATTTTCATCAGATGTGACCACTGTCAGCCCCACTTGTTTTATCTGCACAATGGAAAATAATACAGTAGGACCCCCCTCGGATTTTTTTCCTGATAATTAAATGAGGTAATAAAAATGAAGTGCCTGACACATAATAAAGTTTCAATAAATATTAACTATGATTTTAGCTATTATCCTCCTATAATCCCACTGATTCCTCAAAATACAGTTCAGATTTTACTTCCTTTCTGATTTCCCACAAAGAGAAAAGATGTGGCTTTCTCTTAAATGTCTATAGCTCTTTGTGTTTGTGTATTATGATATTCCACATATACCTTGAGATGATAGGTGGCATAGTGGCAAAAAGAAGTGGCTGTGAATTCAAATAGATACATATTTAAATCCTGTCTCTACCATTTCCAACCTGTGTGACTTTGAGCAAATCATATAATCTTATTAATCCTAGTTTACTTATCTGAAAAGTAGGAAAAATAATAATTGCTCCTTGATGGAGCTGTATGAGGATAAAATTAGTTGCATGAGTGACTGGCATATAAAAATTAATACATATTGATATTTTTATTATCATCTTTATCCTGAAAGAGTTGTACACACACCCCCAAAAAACCCACCTTATTTATCCTAGTTAATTGTAAGTTATTTGAAAGCAAACATTGTCTTACATTTGTATCTCTTACAATGTGTGTGCATAATAGAATTTAATGATTATTTATTGAATGAATTATCAATGAATTTCAAACTATCGTTTTCATTTACCTAGAAAATTTTACTAATATTAAGGAGTATATGTAATTGCATAGCAATCTCATTATAGTTGCTTTAGTTTTATTTTATATTAACCATTACCAGCAACATTAGCAGAAATAACAAAATTTATCAGTGGTTTATTACTGCCCCCTAAAGACAGTATATAAATTAACTGTGTAAAACCATTTTCCACTTGCTGCTTTACAATTTAAAATGCCTGGGAAAGATTTTTATCAAACTAAATATAATCTTCAATTATTTATGAAAAGAAAGCCACATGAACACACTTAAGCTTGGGAGTTTCCTTTATTTCAAATGCCTCTGAAACTTTTTATTGGAGATCCAACTGTGTTCCTAAAGTTCCAGAAATTCTTCCATAGAATATAGACTTAAATTGTCATGGTTTGAGCCTATTATCTTTCCTGTTTAATACACAGTAATTATGTCGATGAAAGATTGGACCAGTTATACACTGTCACAAAGGACAAAACTCACATTACATAAATACCATGGGGTGACAAATTTGAGCTCAAAGAAAAATACTTCTAGAATAATTATATCAGTCTAACATTAAGGAAATGTGATTTCCTTGTGGGGATATATATTTGTAGATATATATCATTTTTTATTATGGCATAAACATAATAATGTACTAAATACCTATAATGGTGCTTTATAGTTTAAAAAAATTATTTCAGATAGAGAATAGCCAATAAAGTAGAGTAGGGACCATCTCTATTTTACAAGTGAAGAAATAAGTGGATGCTCTTGCAGTGTTACTCAATTTGCAAGATCATCCTACAAATGAGGCTAGATTATAATTCACGTTTTCCGACTCTAGGTGTTATAATCTTTCTTCCACACCATGGAACCAAGCTCCTAATTACTAGAGCTCTTCAAAGGTATAAGAGATATTCAACTCAAGATGTTCAGAATGTCCACAGAGAAATTTCTTTGTCATGTGATAGTTTATAATTGATGGCCTTTAAATTATTTTTTAACCCTAAACTTCTATAAATCTATGCAGTATAGGATTAAGGGCCAATTATGATCCCATAGAGACCCTTAAAATCCTTATCAGTCAACTCTCTAATGCATGTCTTTATAAACATGGTGGTGAGGGGGAAAAGGAAAAGA